CCGACCACTGCAGCCTCAAGTACCTGAAGACCCAACCAACACTCTCCAGGCGGCAAGTCCAGTGGATTGACTTTCTCGAAACCCACTTCCATTACGACATCGTGTATAAGCTGGGGCACAAGAACAAGGCAGACGCACTCTGTCGCCCTGCACACGTTGCTGCCCTACAAGTCGATGGCATGAACCCCCTTTTGAAGGGACTCTTCACGCATGGATACACCATCGACCCCGAAGTCTCTGTAGCAGAAAAGCGCCATCTTCTACAATGGGATCAAGACATCGCATACCGCAAGGGCTCAACAAAAATATGGGTACCTAATTACCCTCCCTTACGCCAGTTACTGCTCGAAGAATATCATGATGTTCTCTACGCGGGCCACTTCGGTAGTAACAAGACGCTTGCCGGTATTGCGAAGCATTATTATTGGCCCCACATGGCGGATGACGTACACAAATTCGTCACCTCGTGCGACACATGCCAACGGATGAAGAGCAGCAAACAAAAGAAAGCAGGGTTACTACAGCCTCTTCCAGTCCCTGAACAGCCTTTGCAAGTGGTTAGCCTCGACTTCATCACCGGGTTACCACCTACCAAAGCTGGTTACGACGCCATTCTAGTCGTCATCGACAAATTCTCCAAAATGGGACACTTCATTCCGACACACACAACGGCTCGCACCGAGGAGACAGCGCAAATATTCTTCCGCTACGTCATCTCGCAACATGGCATTCCAACCACGCTCATCTCCGACAGAGACCCGAAATTCACAAGTAAATTCTGGAAGGAGCTCATGTCGCTCATGGGGACCAAACTCGCCATGTCATCAGCCTATCATCCCCAAACGGATGGTCAGACAGAGCGCCTCAACCAGATTGTCGAACAGCTTCTGCGAGCAGCGTGTAAAGACGATATCTCTAAATGGGATGCACACCTGCCGGTTCTCGAGTTTGCGTATAACAACGCCACGCACGCCGCAACAGGGCAAACTCCTTTCTTCCAATCGAATTCTCAATCGAAACTTGTCACTAAAACTGAATACAAGGCATTTTTATACTCGGAAAATACAAGGATAAACGAGATAAAACGAACCTTCGGGAACACGCCCTTCCCGATACTACAATCACAAGTGCGCACAAGCACGCAAGGCTATTGGCACTTGGGATTACGCCCACATTACACCGTATACACTACTGTCGGCGCTGTCGGTGCCGTATAATAGGTATGTTGGTGGGAAAAGTAGGAAATAAGAGAAATAAATAGAAGGCTCTAGAAAATAGAATAGTAGGCCGATTGAGATGAGATAAAAGACCAAAATAAAGAGGAGAAAAGGGAGAATAGGATAACGGAAAAATATAATAGTGAGAAAATATTATAACGGGGACGTCCTCTCACAGATAGGGCGACGGGGCCGGGTCGACGGTAGGGCGACGGGGCGGGTGCGCAGGTAGGGCGACGGGCCGGGGCCGGAGCCGCAGGTAGGGCGACGGGGCCGGGGTCGGAGCCGCAGGTAGGGCGACGGGGCCGGGGCCGGAGCCGCAGGTAGGGCGACGGGGCCGGGGCCGGAGCCGCAGGTAGGGCGACGGGGCCGGGTCGACGGTAGGGCGACGGGTCGGTGCGCAGGGAGGGCGACGGGGACAGGGCCGGAGCCGCAGGTAGGGCAACGAGGCCGGGGTCGCGGGTAGGGCGACGGGGTCGGGGCCGCAGGTAGGGTGACGGGGCCGGGGTCGCAGGTAGGGTGACGGGGCCGGGGTCGCAGGTAGGGCGACGGGGCCGGGGCCGCAGGTAGGGCGACGGGGCTGGGGCGCAGGTAGGGCGACGGGGCCGGGGTCGCAGGTAGGGCGACGGGGCCGACGCGTAGGCTGGGCGACGGACACCCCCACAACCACCACCCCCACACCCTAAGTGTGCGGTAAGCGCGCTCAGGTGTGCCCGAAGCGTGCACAAGCCTGCGGGAAGCAAACTCGGGTGTGCGGAAAGTGAACTCAGGTGGGCGGGAAGGGGGGGGCGCAGGGCGACTCGAAGAAGTAGGTGAAGGGTGTCAGAGGTCCACTGGTGATCCCCGATCGATCCTAGGGAAGGGTTACAGGCACGTTTGCCTGGGGGGTTATGGGCGCACTGACCCGCTACTGAAACAAGCCCTTTTATCCCAATGGTCTAGTGGTTGGGATTCTGAGATGGTATCCAGAGCGAAGGTCTCGGGTTCGAATCCCGGTGTATGCACTTCGGGCATCCCAGTGCGGGGGGGTGTCAGAGGTCCACTGGTGATCCCCGATCGATCCTAGGGAAGGGTTACAGGCACGTTTGCCTGGGGGGTTATGGGCGCACTGACCCGCTACTGAAACAAGCCCTTTTATCCCAATGGTCTAGTGGTTGGGATTCTGAGAAAGGGAGCGCGACTCGGGGAGAGCGCGCTCCGTTTAGTAAAAAAAATGTTCGAATTGGTGGGCCCTAGGCACATTTCCCACTAGGGAACCTGCTCGATACCATGAGAAGATATGAACGAGAAAGAATGAACTATGAAAGAAGTGAGTACAAGTACTAACCCTAATTGGGTTGTACCCCCTATGGGATACCCCACTATAGCCTACACAAATGTATAAGCTATATGACATTCTGACACAGACAGGGTGCCAGAGGGGGCCGCCGGACACGGGAGGACACTGGAGAAGTGAGCAAGGACAGGACCCCCAGAGGGGTCTGCCAGAGAGACTGCACCTGGCCGACCAAGCGGCGTGAGTGTGGTGCGGTCTCGAAAGAAGGAGCGGGAAGCCCCCGAGTCAAGAGTGAAGGTGTGAGAGGCCGGAGCCGACGCGGTACCTGAGAGAGCAGACTCACCCGCACCTGAGGAAGCAGACTCACTAGCACCTAGAGCAGCAGCCGCACCTGTACCTGGAGCAGGAGACTCACTAGCACCCAGAGCAGCAGCCTCACCAGCAGCTAGAGTAGCAGGCTCTATACCCGGGTCAGGCGGTACGCACAGGTGACCGGCACGGTCAGCACTAGTAGGCAATGCATACATGGCAGTGAGGATAGCATCATAGTCAAGAGCAAATATATCTACCCTCTGCCTAAGCAACTCCACCCATTCGGGGAGCTCAGCCTCGTCGCAAACTCGGTACGCCAGGCGTCGCTCAGACGGGCGAAGCAGCGGGACTCTGTGTGACTAGGTGTCCCACAAGGCTGACCAGTCCGAGCACCAGTGCGAATCACGTAAGAGCAGCGAATAGAACTGAGAGACCCTCTACTCTGAGCGTACCACTCACAAAGCTGCTGGGGCGAGAGAGACGCGCGTGGGCGTCGCTGGAGCTGCATCTGGCCGCCGCCAGTAGTAGTAGCAGCAGTAGTGGTAGCAGTAGCAGCGCCGCCACCCCTACAACCCCAACCAGCGTACCACTCACGCAGCTGCTGGGGCGTGAGGGACTCACGCGGACGTCGCTGGGGCTGCATCTGGCTCCGCCAGTAGAAGCAGGAGCAGGACTAGCAGCTGTAAGGCAGGCAGCCAGGCAGGCCGAAAGGGAGGCAGGCAGGCAAGCAGGCGGCGGGCAGCGCGCTAGCAGGGCAGGGGCTCACCAGTGGCGGGAAGAGCAGGCTCGGCGACTCGGCGACTCAGCGGTGCGGGCGGCTCGGGCGGCTCGGCGGCACGGCAGCTCGGCAGCAACTGCGGCTCGGCGGCTCGGGCGACTCGGGCGGCTCGGCGGCAACTGCGGCTCGGCGACTCGGCGGCTCGGGCGGCTCGGGCGGCTCGGCGGTACGGTGGCTCGGCAGCAACTGCAGCTCGGCGGCTCGGCGACCCGGCGGCTCGGGCAGCTCGGGCGGCTCAGGTGGCGCTGCGTCTCGGGTGGCTCGGGTGGCTCGGGCGGCTCGGCAGCAGCTCGGCGGCGCCGGCGGCTCGGTGGTGACGGCGAGGCCGCTTGGGGACGGCGGCGGGGCCGGGTGGAGCGGCGACGGGGCCAGCAGAGGCGGCGCCGGGGCCGCAGGGTAGGCGACGGGGCCAGCAAAGGCGGCGCCGGGGCCGCAGAGGTAGGCGACGGCGCCAGCAGAGGCGGCGCCGGGGCCGGGAAGGGCGGCGTCGGGGCCAGCAGAGGTGGCGCCGGGGCTGGGAAGGGCAGCGCCGGGGCCGCAGGGGTAGGCGACGGGGCCAGCAGAGGCGGGGTCGGGCCGGGAAGGGCAGCGTCGGGGTCGCCGGGGTAGGCGACGGGGCCAGCCGAGGTGGCGCCGGGGCCGGGAAGGGCAGAGCCGGGGCCGTAGGGGCAGGCGACGGGGCCAGCAAAGGCAGGGCCGGGTCGGGAAGGGCGGCGTCGGGGTCGCCGAGGTAGGCGATGGGGCCAGCCGAGGTGGCGCCGGGGTCGGGAAGGGCGGAGCCGGGGCCGGGATGGGTGGCGCCGGGGCCGCAGGGGTAGGTGACGGGGCTGCTAGGGCGGCGGATCGGGGCCGCGAGGGCGGCGCGACGCGGCCGCTAGGGCGGCGCGACGAGATGGGGCCGCGAGGGGTCGCGCGCGGCTCCTCAGGGCGCCGCGACGGGGTAGCGGGGAGTGGCGCGCTTGGAAGGAACGGGGCCGCGCGCCTCGGGGCGCGCGCCAGAGATGAAAAATAGGTCGCACGCCACGGGGCGTGCGACAGATCGAATAGCAGCGGAAGCAGTAGTAGGGCCCATAGGCCAGGAGCATATGTGCTCTGAAACCATGTGAGAATGAACGAGAATGAATGAACTATGAAAGAGTTGGGTACAAGTACTAACCCTAATTGGGTTGTACCCCTTATGGGCTACCCCACTATAGCCTACACAAAAGCATGAGCTATGATGTTCTGACATTACTATCCTGTTGCATAAAAAAGGGAGCGAGATCAGTTGAACTACGGATCCATCACGCTTTTGAACTTCACGTACAAGGTGTTGGCAAAAGTCATGGCTGACCGAATGAAGCGGGTGCTTCACCAAGTGATCTCACTAGAACAGTACGGGTTCATCCCGGGGAGACGGCTGTCGAACACAGTGGCGATGGTAGCGGATGTCATTGACGTGGGGAAAAATGACAGTGAAGACTGGTACATGCTGCTGGTTGACTTTCAAAAATCCTTTGACTCAGTGTCTCGTGACTTCCTGTTTGAAGTGCTTCGGAAGATGGGTTTCCCAGAGTGCTTCGTCATGTGGATTGAGGGGCTGCATGAGAACACCACGACGAAGCTGTTAATAAATGGGTGGCTCGGTGAAGGCGTGAACGTGGTTTCGGGGGTCCGGCAAGGCTGCCCGCTGGCTCCTTACCTGTTCCTGTGTGCGGTGGGGCCGTTAGCTCAAGAGGTGGAGAGGGAGAGCCTCGGTCTCAGTAAGGACGGGCAACAGCTTGGCTACGTCGGTTACGCCGACGACACGACACTTATCCTGCATGGCGCAGACCAGATTGTTAAGGCGGAAGAGATTCTGGACAAGTTCGAGAAAGTGTCGGGACTGGCGACGAACAAGTACGCCAACACTGAACTTGGCTTCTCGTCGGACTCGAAAGCACAAACAGGGTAACCACCCTTCAGCAAGTGATAAACCTTAGGGTCCACCCCCCCCAAAGTGCACCCTTGCTTTAACTGTACGCGGTTCATGTGCGGAACTGTGGAAGGGAACATATGATCTATGATACCGCTTTTGAATATCTCGCACCATACTGAACCTTTTAAAGTCGTCTGTACCCAAACGATAACGACCCACCCCGAGCTGGGCAGTCGCACATGGCCATGTCCAGTTGATCATTTCTCCAAGCCAAAGCCACATCCCTGGCACTGTGTGCCTCCGTGGACCCCGATATGGCGACACTATGTTGAACGTTAGGTCACTCATCCTAGAATTGCGTCAGTCAAGGCCAGATTTTCAGAATTCTGAGGCGTTTTTAGTGATGTTGTCGTCCAGCTAGGCAGCCCACTTCAGCGAATCACGGCAAACAAGGAGATCGAAAATCTTCTCACACGTGTGTTCAATACTCGGGTCAGTTGGATGGCACTTGCACATGCGTTCAGTAGAAAAGGCATCACTTTTCCGACTATCCACTGTCGAGTTCATAACGTTTAGCGTTTGATATAAAGGGAAGGCTACCGCTCACTTTGGGAAACCACTCGTTTCAAATCCGGCATCTCGAAGTACTACTACCTGTGGTAAATACGTCCTGGAATTATTTCTGCCTTTTCTCTTGCAAGACAGTTGTGCTGGCAATTCTGTTGCCCTCACTCGTCCATTTTCCGTTTGCTTCAGCTCATTGGAATCTGGAATCACAAGGCTCACCTTTTCCCTCAGCTGAAAGGGTTCTTTCCTCCTCAGAGTAGCAGAAGTAACTTCCATTTCCACGCACTTCTTGGCTCCTCAACTTTGTTGTTCATTGACCTTTCGTTTAGCCATGGAGGCCTTCTGCCTTGCCCGACCAGCCCTTGTGGTGGCTCCCCGCACTATCCGCGCACTCCCAGTGCGGTCAGCGCGGTCGCAGGCGAGAGTGGTCTGCGCCATCAAGTTTCCGGGTTTCGGCTTCACTGCCAAGAATGAGAGCGAAGACAACGAGTCTTACGCCGGAGCCGACTCCGCCACGACGTGAGCTTCCAGACCTTCGCCTGATGTCTATCAAAGCTTGACGCCACGGCGTTTTTTTTTCCAATGCTCCGTTCCCTGAGCGGCAATGCCACTTTAGAAGCCATTGGATTTTCTTTCTTGAGGTCCAAAGTTTTCGGTACTCATAGATCGCCATTCTGTACCGTTTACCATCCCCAGTGTGTTCCCCGCGGAGGCGTGCGACGAGCTCGGAGGCGAGTTCTGCAATGCCGAGGGCGTGTTCGCTGAGGTGAAGCTGGAGTCGAAACCCGAGCCCGTGGTCAAGCAGGTCGAAGGGAGGGATGTCGGCGTGGTCGACTACGACGGCCCTAAGACGTACGTTCGGAGTTGCAATGTGATTCTCATTCATTCTAAATCTACTATGTTGAATGAATGCTATTTACTGTCACATGAAGCCTGACGACTAAGAAAGTCCTACAACGTACGTCCGAAATCGAAGTCCTTTTTGCATTGAAGAGTCCGTTTTGCATTAAGCATGTGGACCATACTCGCCACGTAAGAGCTGTTTCACGAATCAGTCGCTCGGATTTGTATCCAGGAGTACGTGGTTCGGGCGAGTAGCGTTGGCTTTCTCGTGGCTCTCAAATGGGCTCTTTTCTCTCTTTACTTATTGCTTCTTTCGTGCAGCGTTTTCCCCGGCGAGGCATGCGACGAGCTAGGAGGAGAGTTTTGCGAGCCTGATTACCAGGAGGGCGTTGGTCCCGAGAAGAAGCTCTGAGCGTAAAATAAGCAGTTATACTGGTTAGTACGAGAGTCATGATTGTAAATCCTTTTCTTTATTGCGCAGTATCTCGATCCAAGTACCCGTCATATGGACCCGTTTCTTGCAAACAGGGCAACCAGGACCAACCGCGGCCGTTTCTAGAGTCTGACCATGCCTTTAAAAACCTTTGGCGAACCGTTTTCCCGCGTCCCTCCCTACCTCATTCCTTTCTGCACACGCGCACCATTTATCCCTCGCCTCTCTGTTTCTTTGAACAAGCCTGTTGTCCGTGACATTTGCCTCTCCCATCACCAGCTCAGCCTACTTGTCCTATTCTCTCGAAACCCTATCATCGCTTCCCCTCACGTTCCACCCCACTCCCCTATCGAACCTACCCTTCCTGCCCATCGATTCGCGCTTTCCCATTGGGAAAAGTTTAATCCCAGCCCAACACCGTTCACACACAAAGCCTGAAAAGTAAGACATCACGCTATTGTCTGTTACTACGGTAGTCTCCATGTGGGTTCCGGACACTCGAAATGCAAGTATTCAGGCTGCTACGTACCGTGAGTTCGGTCCTCATCAGGCGTAATGAGAATGAAACCGGTGCAGCCTCAGCTTGGGGAAACCCTGCTGGCGTGCCCTGAAGTCTACTTGAAATGCGTTTGTGGCTGGGGTCAAAATGCCTACTGTATACCGTACCAAATCATCACACCCAGGCATTTACATCTCTTACCAGGAATATTTATGACTTGATCAGTAGAAGCGCAAATAAGTGTAGAAACCGCAGGCATGCACATTCACAGGTAGTTTTGCATTGGAATAACACCTAGGTAGCAGGATCTACGATGGTACTGTGGTTTTTTCTTCACCTGGACAGTCATGTCTACTACGGTAGTCAATTGGTGCTAATTTCCAGGATTTCCTCTTAGCAGGTATGCAGTCCCTTTGCTTGGATGTAGTAGACACAGACAGAACAATTTATATTGGAATGTTGTATTTTATGCCTGATTGGATACCCGTGCAGACTGTATCTGAAGGTATGAAGCTGATTTCCTTGAGGGATACTGGAGCGATCATTGCATCTTGCTTTTGTCTAAGGAATGAAGGCAATCAAAAGGAAAACCGGAACACAGCCCTGAAATATACAGCCTTGGATACAAATGCAGCACAGAACCCAGTTGATGAACCATAGTCATTATATTAGCCATATAGAGGGCACGACAAAGCATCCTCAATGACACGGTTAGTTCCAAGGTTATCGAGGTTAATGTCAGAATGAGGAATGAGTGTTGCATTGATGTTGGTTGGGGTACATATGACAAACCCTAACTTCTGTACCCCCTAAGACAAACCTCACTACAGGCTACAACATTTGACACACCCCCATAGCCTAAGTGAGGGGTGTCTAGCAAAAACAAAAAGAGTACGGTCACAAGACCAGTCCAAAAGAAAACAAAGCTCAGGGTGGATCACAACGTCACCACACACTCTGAGCACCAGCAACAGTGGCCACAAGGCCAGTCCAAGAGATCACAAGTATATATAGTAAATGTACAGACGAAGCAGGCAATAAACTCAAGTCTACGCATGACTAGAACCTGTGTCAACAAGGCCTAACTGCACACAACACCTCTGGTGGTCACAAGGCGGAAGCGCCTTGGTGAAGATGTCTGCAGTGTTGGCCTCGGACTCTACGAACTCGAAGCGAGCCTGTCCACGCCTCTGCAACTCTCGCAGAAGAAAGTACCTGATGTGAATGTGCTTCACTCTGCTCTCCAGTCGCGGCTCACGACAGAGGAGGATCGACGCCTTGTTGTCAGTAAACAAGGTCGGTGCAGAGCTCGGCCGCTCACCAAGGTCAGTGAGCAAGAAGGTCAACCACCGCAACTCCTGTGCCGCCATGGCACCAGCGTAAATCTCAGCCTCAGCTGTAGAGGTCGAGACAGAAGAGGAGCGCGTGGAACGCCAGGAAACAGCTCCAGAACCCAGACTGAAACAGTACCCCTGAGTAGACCTGTGAGTCTCAGCGTCGTCAGCGTAAGAGGAGTCACAGTGACCAGTGAGTACGACAGACTGCTGCCCTCCAAGAACTAGCCCCACGCCTGATGTAGTCGCTAGGTACTTCGCCACCCTCACAGCTGCCGTCCAGTGAACAGGACGGTGTCTCCCTGGCGCAACAAAGCGCGCAAGGATGCTGAGAGGGAAGGCGAGGTCCGGGCGAGTACAAGTCATCAGGTACATGAGGCAACCCACAAGCTCTGCGTAGGGACCACTAGGCTCAAACGGCTCGTCAGGAAAGGGACCAGTGAGTCTGTGGTCAACAGCTAGAGGTGTGCGCTGTACGGTGGAGTGCTGAAGCCCGAACCGCTGAAGGACCTGCTGCACCATGTGTGACTGTGAGAGTGTAATGGTGCGAGCGGCTCTGTCCCTGGTGATCTGCAGGCCAAGGTAGTGGCGCAGTTCACCAAGATCAGTGCACGTGTGTCTCTTCTGCAGTTCGGACTTCACGTCTGCCAAAGCAACCCTGTCCGGAGTGGCGAAAACGAGGTCGTCGACGTAAACCAGAACAAAGAACGGTGTGGAGCCACGACGAACGAACAGCGACGGGTCGGCAGAAGACGGCTGGAACCCAAGGTCAGAGAGGGTAGAACGCAGAGTGTCGTGCCACTCACGAGGGGCCTGGCGAAGACCGTAAACAGGTCGCCTCAGCCTCCACTGGGTCCCAGGAGGGAAGGTGCCAGTGAAGGCCGAGGGACGACGCAACCAGACCTCCTCGTGTAGGCTGCCCTGAAGGAAAGCAGTGGAGAAGTCAAGAGAGTGTAACTCGTAGTCTCTCTGTGCTGCTACGTGTAGTAACACCCGAAGAGTGGTCATCTTCGGGGTAGGTGCGAAGGTCTGAAAGAAGTCAACTCCCTCGCGCTGACTGAAACCTCTAGCCACGTAGCGCGCCTTGAAGACCGGGGGAGATCCCGGTGGCCGCTTCACCCTGTAGATCCACATGCCGTCGACTACGTTCGCCCCCGGGGGGGGAACCTCATCGACGTAGGTGCCTGTGGATCTGTAGGAGGCCATCTCTGCGTCCATGGCAGCTCTCCACTGAGAGGCCCAAGGCCCTGACACTGCCTCAGCGTAAGTGCGAGGAGTCGGAATGTCAAGGGCGTCGGGGTCACCCTCAGGGGCGAGGAGCATGGCACAGAGATGAGGGGAAGCGGCCGCCAGGAACTCTAGCTCAAACTGCCTGTCCTCTAGGGCGTCACGGCCAAGGGCAGACACACCCCCGACGGCCAGAGGACTGGTAGGAGGAGCAGCCACAAGCGTGGTGGCGTAGTCAAGGCGGCGGGTAGAGGCAAAGTCAGTAACTGCGGCAGTAAGAGCGGACACAGAGGACACAGAGGCACGAGGGTGAGTAACAAGAGAGGCGAGAACACGAGAGAGAACAGGACGGTACGTGCGGTAGTAGTCAGTGACAGGAGTAGGGAGCGACACAGTGAGGGCCGACTCAGGAGGAGACGGAAGCACAGACTGAGACGGACGAGGTGGACTAGAAAGAAGGAAGGCAGTACGAAGGTCAGTGAAGGGAACAGGAGACGAGGGACGAGCACGAGGGGAGCGACGAGTAGCCCAAGAACGAGACGGAGGAGAAGAGGACAAGGGCGGAGAACTGGGGAAAACAGCGGGGGAGGAGTCAGGAGGAGGAAACGTGGGACCGTAGACAGGAGGAGAGGCGGAGGAGGGAGGAGAAGGGGAGGGGAGACCAAGGATCCGAAGACCCGAGACAGGAGGAGGAAGTGGCTGCTGCTGCTGCGGCTGCGACTGCTGCTGCTGCGGACGCGGCTGCTGCTGGGACTGCTGCTCCTGCGGGTCCAGCTGCTGCTGCTGCTCCTCCAGCCGCTGTAACTCCCTCTCCTCTCTCTCCAACGCCAGCTGATCGTCACGGGCACGGCGAACACGAGCCTGGTGCCTAGTCGGGTAGGGGTGGGGGGGCGGAGTAGTGTCCGAAGCAGCGGCAGCTCCAGAGTCCACTCCAGAAGAACTAGGCTCACCACCCCCAGAGGCAGCACTAACACCAGCTCCAGACCCAGGCTCACCTGAACCCAAAGGAGGCGCACCCTCACCCCCAGACGCAGCACCCCCAGTGTCCGCGCGGCCAGCACCAGCTCCCGGACGACAAGCGTCCTCTGCACCCACCTGGTCAGCTCCAACTCCAGAACCAGAAACTCCAGCTCCAACCCCAGCTCCAACTCCAGCACCCCCAGAACCAGAAACTCCAGTGCCAACTCCAGCTCCAACTCCAGCTCCAACTCCAGCTCTAACTCCAGCACCCCCAGAACCAGAAACCGGTACAGGAACAGGCGTCGCACCAACCTCTCGAGAGCTAGCACCAGCGGCACGCTGCGAGGAGGACTGTGGGGAGGGAGGCTGTACCGGAGGGGCTACCGAAGGAGGAGGGGTAGCCTGGGACACACCTGACGGGGCTGGACCAGGGGGGGGAGGCTGTACCGGGGGAGCAGGAGGGGGAACGGCAGTCAGGAAGAGGGGGGGAGGAGGAACCGGGAGACCTCGACTGGGGTACCTGACGTAGTACGGAGTGGACTCCTCGAAACGGACGTCACGGGAGTCAAAGAACCGGTGAGAGGTGTGAGAATAAGCGAACAGGAATGAATGAACTAGCAGTGAAATGAGTACAAGTAGGAAACCCTAGAATTGTGTACCCCCTATAGGCTAACCCACTGTAGCCTACACAAGCAGAACATATCTAATGTTTGACACACCCCCATAGGCAAAGTGGGGGAGAACAAGGGGTCACAAGACCAGTCAAGCAAAGCAAAGCAAGCTCAGGGTGGATCACAAAGTCACCACACAGTCCGAGCACAAGAGCAGGGCCAGAGGCCAGTTCACATGCAGGAGTACAGACATATATATAAAACTAGACAAGCAAGAGCAGGTATATATATATGTCACAGTACAAGTGAAGTCAAGAGGAGAGCAAGTGAGGCAAGACAGGCACAAGA